CTTGGCCACTCCTTCGCCTCCCGACGCTTCCCCATTCTTCGAATGTACCAGAAGCTGGTTTTGAATCGATGGGAATATCATGGGATCCGTGAGCAAATGTCCGCAATTATGTGTCAAAAGGAATCGAGCACAGATTAAGATGAAGAAATGATATTTGTTTCATGTTAAGATGATGAATTGGAATAGCAGGTCTATCACTTTGGGCTCCAGATAAACTTTTCAAATATCCGAAAAAAAAGATAAAACATGCAATTTGTTCAATTTATTTCCTCTCTCACACTAACTTGATTCAGTTAATTAGTATTGAATATGTAACCATTTAGTCTCATTAATGTAATAATTAATTAGTAATATCCGAAGACAATAAAAAATATCAAAAAAACAAAAAGGTCATTGCATAATGTTAATTAGATCTTACCTGTTCGACTTTCCTCTGGAAAGTACACTACAAGTCCATAGAGTCAGTGAAAGAGATGAACCGACAATCAGTACCCATTGATTACGGGTGATTTTAGATCTATTTGGAATACTAAATTTAGAAAGAATAGACATGATGATGATGATGATGATGTGTATACAGAATGATGGTGATAATGAACCAGATGAAAAAAGACTAAGTTGAAGTAATGATTGGTACAATTAGTGAACACTGGGACACATATTTCTAACCATTTGGAGACAAAACTGATTACCTTTTAATTATTTATTTTTCTTAAATTTCAGTGTTAATCAAAACACCCTTAAAAATACTTCCACCATTGGCTAAGCGTTTAAATGCCTTCTCATATGTTCATTTTGTAACACCTTTCTCCGTAAAAGTAAAACCTTACCACATTGACTTTATCATTCAACTCATCAAGAATGTATAGACAATTTTCTTCACCAAAAGCATTGCTACGTCCTAATATTTTACCTCCTCCGATTCCTAAACCATTGAGACGCAATATTTTCAAACCTTCGCATGAATCACTCTCCAAAAAAGAGCTTTTTATTGCATATTAAGACAAGAGACTCAAACATATTCTGAAAATTATATTTAATGCGCCAAAGATAACAGGTGAACATTTAAAAATACATTTCAACTATTATATTTCTCTATTGTGCTTTTTATCCATTCCAAGAAAAATGCAACTCTAACGTAAATATCGAGTGCATGAGGCCTCTTACATCTCATGTTAATCAATGTGATTCCAACAATTACCCAATGTTTTCGAACTTTGACCATGAACGGATCGCCACGATCAGGAAAACATGCATCTTTTCGTCTTTTCGGGTAACCAGCACAAAAAAAGGAATCAGTGATATTTTTTTTAATGACTTTTTTGAAAAATTTATCACAATCCTCAGATCTGTCGATAGGCAACGTGGTTATGTGCATATTTGAAGGTAATTTTCTCACTGTTGGATCTTTAAGAATAAAGGAAAAAATAATTATTAATTATTGTCATCAATAAAGTGAAGGAATAAAACACTCACTTAGTTTTTCCCGGCCAGCAACTGTCCCATAGCGACCATGAAAAGTTTCATCTTCTCCAGGCTCTGGTAAACAAATTGGTTGGATGTTCATACTGAACTGAACTGGTTCTTTCAATAATAAAAGAGCGATATTGTTCATGGTTGTTTCAAGACTAACATTCGGATGGATGTAGTAGTCTTCCACTCCAATTGTTTTGTTGTTTGATTCGTTACCTAAAACAACCCGTATGGGTCCAAAAATAAATTTTAAACAATAAGCCTCAGTCAATATCCATCGATCTGCAATCAAAACACCACTACACAATTCGTAATGCACGTTTGGTTCATCATATTCTATTGAAGCGTAGAATGGCACTTGTCCTGGGATAGTATCGCGACCACAGTAAATATTTGATTGTTTAATTTCATGGGACAACTGAAGTCCATTTGAAATGATTGGAAAGGTAACAAGCAAAAAAACTACAAACAAAGTCATTCTGATCTTGACGGAAGATTGATCTAGATGCGAACTGACAAGACGAGAAGATTTGTTTTATCTTTAAACGGCAAGGATTTTAAAATACTTAGCTAAACTTAAACAGTTTAAAAACAAGTCGGATCAATCTCAGGAATAAAGAACCAAGCTTTATTGGTGATTAGTAATTTAAACAATTTCATTAAAATTTTTATGCTTTCTTATCTCTGGACTGCAAGTTCAATAATAGTTGAGTAATTTAATATCTCATAATTGAATTATTAATGTATTTTTCCACTCTTTTGTTCTCTTCTTACATTTCATAGGTTGCGGAGCGGGCTCTCTACTTTTGGCATAACGAATACATATTAAGTCTAATCGAGGAGAATTCAAATACAATAATGCCAATCATGTTTCCAGCATTATATAAAATATCTAAGGAACATTGGAACCAGACGATCATTGCACTTGTTTACAATGTTTTGAAGACATTTATGGAAGTAAATTGACTGGAAGTTATAGACAAGAAAGACAAAAGTGCGTCTCTCTGCCAAAAACCTCTGGTTGATATTGACTAAATTATTTCACTGCTCATTTCCATTTAGAGAGAAGAGGAAAGAAAAAGAAAGAGACGAGTTATGGAGGAAATTATCGGAATTGGAATTAGATCATAAGAGTGGACAATTAGGAGACGGAAGACTTTAACCTCATTATTATAAATATATTGTATGAAAGAAACAAAGGTGAAAATTTAAAATTTTTCTTTCAATCTTTTCAAAAATACATTTCATCTAATTTTATTTTCTTTGATTCAATTTATTTAGATAATAGCTCACACTGGTGATACCACTGGGCGAATTGAGCTTGGCACAGTTTATACCATTCGAGACAATACCAACAAGCCTCGAGTCCTCGAGGTTATCATCAGGATATTCGTATTCTTCTTGGTCACCTTCATCTTCCCTGTGAAAAAGATATTGAAAGATAAATAAGCAATTAAATAAACAATTCTGTAATTTAAACTTACTCTAATATCACAGTGACTTTATCATTCAACTCATCAAGAATGTATAGACAATTATCTTCACCAAAAACATTGCTACTCAAATTTAACGTTAGGCCAGTGAAAGTTTTTTGAGGAATCGCCAAATACTAATAGAGCAACAATTCCTTACCTCCGATCTCATTACCAAGCCATTTCAAATTGATTAGTATGAAATAAATTGCATAGGAATAAATTCACTCACCTAGTCTTCCCCAACCAGCCACTGTCCCGTGGCGACCATAAAAACTGTCATCTTCTCCAGGCTCCCGTAAACAGATTGGTTGGATATTCCTACTATATTGAACTGGTTCTTTCAATAATAAAAGGGCGATATCGTTTTCAAGTGTTTGACGATTAAAATCCGAATGGACGTAAATTTTTTCTACTGGAATCGTTTCATTGTTTAATTCATCACCTAAAACAACTCGCAAGGTTCCAAACCAACTCATTTTACAATGGGCCGCAGTCAAGACCCATCGATTTGAGATCAAAACACCACCACACTTTTTATATTTAAACATGTTGAAAAATGTGCTTTCTTCGACTGAAGCGAAAAAAGGAACTTCTCCTGGGTCAGCTTCGCGACCACCGACGACACGGGCAATCAATTCATTGTCAGTAGCACGAACACCACAGTATATAGTATATTTTATCATTTCATGGGACAACTTAAGTCCATTTGAAATGATTGGAAATAGAAACAGCAAAGAAACTACAAATAA